CTGGGCATAATAATTGTCTTTTGTGTTGTACTACCAATTCAAGTTATGAATTATTTTAAGGAAATTTTCCAAATATAGACCGAACAGTAAACAGTACAGACAACACATATGTGCTGGCTAATCTTTTTCTGTGCATGACAGGGATAAAATCTTTTGCGGCAAGCAGGCAAAAGGTTTAAATGACAATATCTTGACCATATGATCCTTTTAAGCATAACCTTTATTATTTTATTAAATCACTTTCTTGTCATACTATAATACATGCCAAGTTAAGTTTGTAGTCACTGGCACTGGTAAATTTTTGTGTCAGATTATTTTGATAAACAGACCGTACAGGATGAGTTCTGATATTTATTACCATCATTTTTTATTTACAGCTTGTAGATGGGTGTTTAACAGAGGACAATGACTTCTTTCTGTATGGCGGTAAAACTTTGTATAGAAAACTTACCAAAGAAAATAAGGTAAATGTATTTCATTCTTGAGGGTAGGAGTATGACATTTCTATGGTTATTTGATAAAATTGTATCATATATATTATGTACATGTGTCATATTTTGAGGAATGGATGATAATTATGTCTCCCAAAATTTTGGGGAGATGTATTGTTTTTGCCTTCACCGTCTGTCTGTCCGCTCTCACGGGACAATAAATATGTGGCGAGAGGGACAATAGGTAACCGTTCTTTCTGTTTGATGTCATTCATTCCATAATGCTTTTATGTGGCTATTTTCTTTTGTGTGGCTAAAAAGAACAATAAAGAGAACAATAGAGTAGCCACATTATTACTGTCCCGTTAGAACATCTGTATGTCAGTCCGTGTCCGTCTGTCCGCATTAAGTTTGTTCTGCCTTCACAGGTTAAACTACTGGTGGGATTTAAATCAAACTTTACAGGAGTGATCAGTACCATCCCTAGTTATGCACATCACCGGCACATTCTGCTTTGCTGCACAAAATGGCCACCAGAGCTAAAAATAGAAAAATCTTGTCCGGCCTTCACAGGTCAAACTACTGGTGGGATTTCAACCAAACTTTACAGGAGTGATCAGTACCATTCCTAGTTATGCACTTCATCGGCATGTTCTGCTTTGCTGCACAAAATGGTGGCCAAGGTTTTTAGTGATCATTGGATTGGTCAATAATTATCACATCATAAAATAGCATAAATTTTGACATTTAAAGAATGGATAGAAATACCAAATACAGTATCAATAACATCTTTGGCCAACTTCTCAATATTGTTTCATCCAGAGCTTTTTAATTTTACTTTATGTTTATTTTTTGCAAGCAGGTGTCCAAAATATTTATTTCAGTTAGTAGCATCATTGTAAGTTGACTGGCATAAATATGATCTCTTTTAAAAAGATTCCTTAATTTAGGAAGATTTATTTTACGAGGGCTGTTCAAAAAGTGGACTGCGGCTCTACTGTTCACATCTTTTAATTTGCGTATATGATTTTACAAGAGACATATATGAAAATATGTCCTTAATAAACAATGAAAAAATCAATACAATATGTTTACAAATAACAATTCTGTGACAGTTACAAATCACAAGGGGTGCACAATCCGGCGCACGCTGATGATGAAACAAAATGATGTTCGTGACGTCGCAATATAAATGGACAATTTTACCAGCGTCATTGTTTCTGAAAGTACTCTTTTTAGTGTTCAAGATCTGCAGATCATATACCAAAACCATTTTTCTTTTTGTGATGATGACCCGAGATATATAGTGGTCATCTTTTCGCTCCATTCTCCGTATAAAGGTACGAGTGCCGCATACTTTCCGCCCTTTATCAGGATTTTTGAGTGATTTCGATACTTAACGAACAGTGTTATTAAGTTAATTCAATTGTTAATTTATAGTTTCAATTTGAAACCGCCCTCGTCCGATCTTTTAACAATATGATTATCAATGATAAAGAAAAATATTTTATCAACTGACAATTATTTTATGCGGTAAATCTACTGAACACCGGCTAGCATTAATTATCAAACAGACCAGGGTAAATATACGTAATACAAATAATAACTACAATTATTTATTAAAAATACGCATATATCCTGATGAATGAAATAAAATATTATTTTAATTATATTAAATTGTTTTGTCAGAATTGAATGCATAGACCCGATGCAGAAATTAAACATGTCGGGCATCTCGCAAAACTTTCATAATGTCTGGACTTCTGTAGATCTTTTGCAATTGACGTTATAAACGTGCTAAAAATTATCTGTTGCCCTTTCTGTCTGTGAGTATGTATTTGCCGTATTTGAATTGCTTGCGCGACCTGAAACCAAGAAACTTGCTCGCCAACTCATTGTTCTTCGTTAATTTAATCACCTCATAAAAATATAAAGGGGTATCCCACATTTATTGATAAAAATTTCCGAAAGAGCGAATTTTTAGTTTTCAAACGGGCTTTATACTTCCCAACTTACCAATCTGTCTACTGCTGCTCAAAACCTGTTTGTTCAGCTATTCAACGTACAAACGTCAAATTTCAGATTTATGTCATTTAAATATTAATAGATGATTTCTTGTATTTTACTTCATAAAACAATCATTCAGTTTGTTTCAACATTTGTTTATATTTAAACATTATATGAAAATTTCGGCATGCGCCGATGTTGCGTTACCATGGTTATTAAAGTGCACATAACTCGTATAACAATAAAAGTAAATCTTACTTTTATAGGGTTAACGCACGTTTTTCCGTGTTATAACGTCTGCAGAGTCCCGAGGAACGGTTGGTGCCCGAGCCCGGTAGGGCGAGGGCTCCAACAGTTCCGAGGGACTCTGCAGACTTTATAACACGAAATAAACGTGCGTTGACGCTATTATAGCATAAAATTTTAAAACAGATTCATGATGTATATTATGTATAAAACACAAACATTAAATCTTTGTGCTTGAACGGTATTTATCCAACTCTAAATGTTTTACGTATGCGTTTTATTTTTTCCGGGGCCAACAAATTGAGAACCGAACGAAATTTCAAATTTTAATTGATTTAACAAAGTTTAACTTTGGAGATATAATAACTTAAGAAAAACATAACATTACTCTACCCAAGACAAAACAGGTGCCTCAGAAATTCCTAGAATGATTACAGATTGGCGGTAGGAAAAAGATCAGTGACATCAGATTCAATTTCAGAATCGGTTTTTTTAAGCACGCAAGTTTAAAAAAAATCAGGCATAAAACATTATTCTCTCAAAGAAACATACAGAACATTTATCAATATAAACTTCAATAAAACAACGTTTTCTTATATTCATTTTGTGCTTTCCATTTTTGTAATTAATCGGGGGATTTTAAACTGAATGACAGATTTGTTTACACTGACAACTGTCCGTTTCTAAGAAAGGGCGACAACCAAGATAAGCGGCGATGTCTATAAGCCGTATTGCCGGCATAATTACTTGAATGCTGCTCGCCGTTATGCGACTGAGGCCCTCGAATTAATAATTCCAATATAACAAGAGCGCATTACTCTGGCAAACAGGCCAAATCGTCATTTTTTGTTTGTTTACTGGGCCCTCTATGTATTGCGCATAGGTAAAACCGGGCTATAACAAGAGCGCGTGACTATGTTAACGCATGGCTTTGGCCCCGTTATAACATGGGCAAAAAAGGGAAAAATAGCCGATTTTATGCTATAATAGAAATAAAGACACTATTTCGATTCATATCAACTAAGGGTGTTTTTATTAACAAAGTAAAAAATAACAGCAAAAATCCACGAACTTTTTGAACATACCTCGTACTTCAACTGAAAAATACTCCGTTAACAAAATTTTAATACATGATGCAGATTTAACTTGTGATATGATTTTATTGCTTTGATGTAATAGTGTACACTTCTCTAAGTGAAAGTACAGCTATTTTAGGCAGTATGATAACGCATTTTGTATTCTTTTACAGATGTATTTGGTTGACAGAGTTGATATGGATCAAATAAAATCTGACCTTGACCTAGATAGAAATGACCTTGTAGCATTGGCACTACTGTTAGGGTCGGATTATGATGAGAAAGGAGTTAAATGTATAGGAAAGGAGAAAGGAAAGGCACTGATCAAATTACTTAAATCTAGAAACTTTAATCCACTTGACAGGTAAATACGTGTATGATGAATTATGGAATGTTAGTTCTTCATGTATGCCAATGCTTTTGAGAACTTGAAATTGTGTGTGATCTAGTGGTTAAAGTTTGTACATTTGCATATGGGTTTGGTTTTATAAAGAATTTATTTTAGTTCACGATTTTGTACGAAGTTATAACCTTATAGACACACTTTCGAATTCGTTCCTGGAACCAAACCAGTACAGAGCAATGAGTGTAAATTTCTTGCTCAAGGAAACAACAACTTGCCCCGTAAGGGGTTTGAACCAATACAGTTAACAATCGCTAGATTACTGGTCAGACTTGCTAACCACTTGGTCATGCCACCACTTAATATAAAGTTTATGGGTTTAAATTGTAGTTGCAATTAGGGGTGTCATGGTTAGAAAAAATGCAAACCGTTTAAATGGCAACATAATAACCGTGTTAAACATTTAACCGAACATACTAATAAAATCCTTAGTTTTTCAACATTAACTTTGTTTTCCGCTAGGGTCGTACCATATTCGATCAGATCAGAAAAGAAACATTGTTGAGTACAGCTTAAATTTAAACAATTGTTATATTAAATCATAAAAAAACTAAGTCAAATACTAACCTCGGTTACTGTTTATTGAATTTTCTAACCGGTTTTTAGCTAAAAACCGACCGTACCTGTTTAAACAAATAAACATGACACCCATAGTTGCAATGCTACATGTTTTCATATGAGGAAAATAACTACCAAGCTGGCTTACAAAAGTTTGTTTGTTATATGATCTTCTGCTATGATACAAAATTGTGGTAGGACAGCCTTGCACACTTTGAGTGTATTGAATACAAACTATGTATAATTTATTTTAATGAAATTGTTTAAGGTTACAAGGATGGAGGGAAAATAAAGAACTTGACAGAATTCAAGAACGGTTGTCAGTAGAAACCAAGAAGGAATGTCACTGTAGCAAATGTGATCATCTAGGTTTGTTGACAAATTTTATTGAACTTTAACCCTTAGCAACTGAATATACATGTACCCATGCGACCTGCCTTCTGATAAAGATCTCCTGGCACATCCATGTTGTTTGATCATGGTCTGCAATATTAACTGTTCAGTCAGTACATATTTTTGATATTTTGTCTAAAATTAAAGAATGGAGTTGTTAAGGTTGAATGATAGACAAGTCCATTTAAGATATTTAGTGTGATAAAGTTGTCCAGTGATTTTATTTTAAAGAACCTGACTGTGGCTTTCTGAATAGGAAAATACAGCATGATAAATTAGAAAAAGGAAAAATCTGAAATGTAGCTCATACAACTGACACATAGCCAAACGTATGAGCCGTGTCATGACAAAACCAACATAATTGGTTTGCGACCAGCATGGATCCAGACCAGCCTGCACATCCGCGCAGTCTGATCAGGATCCATGCTGTTCGCTTACAAACCCTATAACAAGTAGAGAAACTGATAGCGAACAGCATGGATCCTGATCAGGACTGTGCGGATGCGCAGGCTGGTCTGGATCCATGCTGGTCGCAAACGCACTATGTTGGTTTTGTCGTGACGTGGCTCATATAATCAATATTCTAGATTTAACATGCCTGATTCACAGCAGAGGCAATCTATAGTGACAGTTTTCTATAATTCAGTTCATTAAATTTATCAACAAGCTAATCTTAGCCACTGTTTAGTCATAGTTTTGGTGACAAATGTGCACTGTGGCATTGTAGTGAAAATATAGCACTTTTTTGGGGAAATATACATGTAGCTTTTATGGAAGAAGGGTAACAGCCTGTATTTGACAGATAAAAGAAATATAATCTCTGATGTGTTATTGTATAAGTCACCAATTGGAGTGTGCAGGGTTGGTGTGACGTAAAACCCAATTAAAAAAAGAGGTATAAATTAAAATAAAGGAGTGAATATAAGTTATATGCCATTATTTATTTTCAGGTCTTATAAGTGCACAATGAATCATCAGGTTGCAAGGATTGTGGGATGGACATTGGTTGCCAGGATACAAGTATAGTCACATGTGACTGCCCCTGGCATAAACAGGAAGCTCTGAGGAAACAGCACAAACTTGAGGTCTCCTTGCGGCAGAAATCACTGGAGAATGTTTCCTTTCCAAATAAAAAGGTATACATGTACATTATCAGTTCATTAATTAAAAAAAGTTTATGATGCAATCTTTACAACACATGTATATTTGAATGTTTATCAAATCTTAATTCCTGTTTGTGTTATACTCTGTTAGATGATATCAAAGAAGCTTATTATCTAAATGAAATCATTTGAGATAAGGAAATATAAAAGTGAGAACAATCATGCCACTAAGTACAGGATTTCTTACTTTAAAGATATTTTTCCTTCTTTTAAGTCTGTTCTTTATTAACTTTAACTTTTGACTTTACCGTACAACGCTTTCCATGGAATGGCATGTACATGTCACTTTGAAAGCTCTGTGATTACGACCATGTGAACACATGTGCTGGTGTTCTGAATTCAAATCGGGAATGATTCATGTTAAATGTTGATTCTGGTTAAGCCGGTGCTGGGGAGCGTGGGCAGTAGCTTGCACTCTTACCACTACCCTCCATGAACAGACTCGATCGAATTGAGCCTGCAGTATTTTCAATTTTGACATTTTTTGGCATTCTTTAGGGATTTTTTATTACTTTTTTTTAAACAAATTTCTTATATCATTAGGTGATAGAAGAATACCTGAACCCTGGTCTCAAGTCTTGTTCGGAAATCCCAAAATCATCCATAAATGTGCCAAAGCTATTGACATTCTTGAAACATCATCTTGGTTGGCAGTCTGAGGAAGTTTTAGGCAAGATGGTTCCCATTGTGATATTGAAGGAGATGAGGGAAGCTGGGAGCCAACCTGATTTAATGTTTACTCCAGTCAGGTAAGTACAGAAAATATGGTATTATGGGGATGTTAAGAAATACCACTTGATTTTGAGTGTGTTGTAGTAAAATATAGCACAGTATGGAGTTTAGATGTGCAGGAATATAATCACAAAGGCATACAATTACCCGGTAAAGTTACTAAACATACTTTCAGATTAGACTTTAAGTCAAGGTCCCGTGAATGTGTGCTTAAACACTTGGCACGTTAAATAACCAGAAGAAGCTTCTGAAATTGGGGCATCTGCTTGTACTATCTCCAAAAAATCTAAAAATCTCGGCCATATTGGTAACCTGTGGCAAGTATATATAAAATAAATATACACAACAAGGAAAAAACATATAAACAACATACAGTTTAATATAATTATGCTACATTAAGCACTCAAAAGCAAGATATATTTCAGTTGTTACATGTAAGTGCAATGAAGGAGAAGGAAAAGCGATGTTGGACTACAGGCTACATGTATTCTAATCTGCAGCAAAAGATTTCAGAGATAAAATCTTTTGTGCAATTATTTTAAGATTTCCAAATTTTGAAAACATTAATTTACATTCCGTAAGGCCATTATTTTTTGATATTTCGGTTTACAGACCCGCCGACTCTGCATTTTGGGAAAATGAAAAAAAAAAAAAAATCTGCCCCCAAAAAAATTCTGTGTTGTCTTGAAATACGCTGCTAATAATACGACTTGTCAAAGAAATGTCGCGGTAAGTATTTTAATTAACTGTTAAACCTACCACATGCCAGACTATTTTACCTACGATTTATACACGCAACCGGTTATCTTTACTCGAGAATAGCCTGTCGTCTGCTAGTTGGGCAAAGTGTTTATTGGTGTATTATGAAAGAATGTCTGTTAAATGGGGTCAAGCCATTCTCACAGAATTATAATTAGGCTTTGATCATATTTCATCAATGCATTGAAGGTCGAAATGCGTAAAAATGTAAAACAACCAAACAACCAAACAAAAAAAAAAAAACACGCCAAATTACGTAAGCAATTACATTCAAGGACAGAGCGAGAGAAATCTGCTGCAATTGACAAGATCAGTATTTTCAGATTTAACAAAAATTTTTAGTCTTTAAAAGCAGATTGAATACAGGTTTCAAACCACAGGGACCCAGCACAGTGTTGGGATAGTGTAAAAAAGTATTTTTAAAAAAATATATATATTGTATATACAGTATAAATTTTTTTCTAGAATTACTTTTTTTACACTATCCCAACACTGTGCCGGGTCCCTTTGTTTCAAACAAACAAAATTAAAAAAAATGCCCGCACTTACTTTTAATAGATTTTTTATGTCAAAAATTGACCCGCTAATTATCCGATAAAAATATTTTCACAATGGGCAAAATTGAACATGACTTTGTGTAATCTTTTCTTGACAGTTTTTTTTTTTAACATCTGATCTATAAAGAAATGAGTGCAAGTCAGCTGATTTTCGGCACCTTTGATGATTCAGATTACACAGCAGTGTGTAAACATCAAAGAATGACAGATTCTTTTGAAGAGCTCGCTTGCCACTTGTCATAAGTCATTGTGTGTAGATTTCATGTGTGTTTTTAAACAATGGCAATATGAGCAAAAGTTTTTTTTGTGTGTATTTAAACAATCTTTGGAATAGACAATCGGCGATGTATTTAATTTCATTGCTCTAGTAAGTACTATGTATATGTATGCACCACATTTATAGTTATGAAAACTTTTTTTTTTTTTTTTTTCCCGCCGCCGACCCTACCTTTTTTTGGAAAAAATCAGTAAACCAAAATATAAAAAAAAATTGGCCTAACCTAGCTAGTTGTTGATCGTGTTTATTACACGAAGGAAATCCTGATGCGTCAGAATCCGAGTTGAACTTGAGACATGCTCATCCTTATATACAGGATTGGGAGGGAATTAGAATTGGCATTGTTTAAGAAATAATATATCCCAAACAGTGAATTTATCGCTCAATAACATCACTGTTCGGAGTTCGGTTGCGACGAATTAAATCACGAGGGCGTAGCCCAAGTGATATAATGATGCGCATCAGAATGACAAACAGTGATGTTATCAAGGCATAATATCACTGATTTGGATATATTATTTCGATTCTAACACAACATCAACAAATAAATGCTATTAAAGCAAAATTGCGCCTGATATGTTTCCGTACTTATTTTCAGCGCGTCGGATTCTTTTAGAGTTACGTCACATGTATAATGATTACGTCACATATCTATATATAGAACGTCAACTGTAACTTTATTGCAGTTGTTACATGTAGGTGCCATGAAGGAGAAGGAAAATAACAGGTTACATGTATTTCAATCGGCAGCAACAGCTTTCAGAGATTAAGTCATTTGTGCAATTATTTTAAGAATAACACATTATGAAAACATTTATTTACATTCCATAACTTACGTACATGTAGTTGTTGATCATGTTTAATTACACGAAGGAAATCATAATGCCTCGGAATCCAAGTTGAACTGGAGACATGCTCATCCTTATATGTAGGATTGGGAGGGAATTAGAAATTAGAGGTTTAAGAAATAATATATGCAAAACAGTGAATTTATTGCTCAATAACATCACTGTTTGGAGTTCTGATGCGACAAATTATATCACGAGGGTGTAGGCTGAGTGATATAATGATGCGCATTCGGACAACAAACAGTGATGTTATCAAGCGATAAAATCACCGATTTGGATATATTAAATCCATTCTAACACAACATCAACAAATAAATGCTGCAGTACCTGATATTAAAGCAAAATTGCGCCTGATTTGTTTCGGTACTTATTTTCAGAGCGTCAGATTCTTTTAGATTTACGTCACATATATAATGATAACATGACGTATCTAAATATAGAAGGTCAACTGTGACTTTATTGCATAATAACACACTTTAGGTTCTTCTATTTTCAAAAGTGAAAAATGCGGGTCGTGTTAGAATATGAAATAACACACGCTCTAGCCATCTTTGTTTATAAAGGAAAGTCTTTGATGGGCAACTTAAAAAGTCTTTTTTGAATACATTTTATGGGTCTTTAAGGGCTCAATATTACATGTAACTTATGTTATTTTGATGTGATTTTAAACAGTATCAAAGCTAACGATTTATTAAAAAGAAATACGGGACTTTCATATTCATGAATATGTTAAAGATTAATGTCTTTATGGGTAGTGCATAAAAATAATTGTGACCAATAAAATGAATTTGCATTATATACTTGTAATATCAAATGTTTGTAAAGAATATTTGGGTTTTACTAGGAATTCAAACTCCAGGTTCCAATGAATTAAATATATAAAATAAGGTTTTCTAAGCAAGAAATCAGAGGTTGTATGTAAATTTTTTCTATTTCAGGATATTAAGGGCCTGTAAAGAGAATCATGTAGATTGTTATGAAGTGCTGTGGGACAAAACAGGTAGGTTGGACTATAGTTTATAAGGCAATATTAACTGAGTTTTGCCAACAGTCTACAGCCTGCCAGGTGGTACATTTTGGCAAGACTCTCTACTTTTTGCTTCTCATTGAGTTTAGGTGTTTTCATACTGAACTCCCTTACAGTTCTAATGGACTGTTCCAAATTCAAAGCAGGGCAAGTCCATTATACAAATTTAGCATGATAGGGGGGGGGGTCATATTTTCTTTATTTTGGCAGGGTTTGGGTTCCATTTTGATGGATAGAAAGATGAAAGTTTTATCAATACAGTACTTATGTGGTTACTCTATTGTTCTCCCAATGTGCTTTAAGCCACATAAAGGAAAATAGACACATAAAAGCTTATGGAATAAATGACATCAAAGAGAATGTACTGTCACCTATTGTTCCTATAGCCACCTAAGTATTCTCCAATAAGTGCGGACAGATGGGCACACTAAGAGATTATACAGTTTGTATGTCTACTGGACAAAAATTATTCTACAAACTTGTACAATCTCTATCATCTAGATAACTGCAATATACAAATGAGCCGCGTCACGACAAAACCAACGCTATGCGTTTGCGAGCAGCATGGATTCAGACCAGCCTGGGCATCCACGCAGTCTGATCAGGATCCATGCTGTTCGCTATCAATTTCTCTACTTGTTATAGGGTTTGTAAGCGAATAGCATGGATCCTGATCAGACTGTGCGGATGCGCAGGCTGGTCTGGATCCATGCTGGTCGCAAATGCACTATGTTGGTTTTGTCATAGCGCAGCTCAAATAATTTTGTTGAATCATTTACTATGTTCTATTTATTCTGATGCATTGTTTTTTTTATAATATTAGATAGGAACCATTGGGCAGGTGCAAATTTTTCAACAAACATAAAGGAAAAGGTGGAAAAGTCCCTGTTAAAGACTGTTTATCCAGTACTGGTCACAAGGTTTGAACAAGAACTGACAGAGAAGAAGACTGGAAGTGGTTAGTAAATGTTTAAAACTGTAGTTTAATAGTAAAAGTTTATATTATTTCCGTTTATGCTTCAAGAGATAGGGTGTTTAAGCTGTTAATGTGGTATTGAAATGATTTTTATGCTGTTTGTTATTTATGAAGAGTTTTAGGCACTGTATGTTTTATTCATTTAGTTATCTATTATAAAACCATGTACAGTCATTTGCATATGATTACCTGTTATGTAAAACTTAGAGTGACGTTATGCCCATCCAAGGGTATATAGTGAGTGAAGAGGTGAAAGTAAAAATAAGTTTACATTTTCCCATGATTCCTTTCAATTTTATAATTTTCTTCACATGGACGATAAGTAACTTAGGTGGCTCAATGAAATGTCTGTAAATATCCTTCAGATTTTACATGTAATATTCAATATATAAAAAGAGTGGGACAGTCTTTTGATATTTTAAGCAGATTTATATTTTTTCCTAATCATTTTCCAGTATTTGTCAATCACCATTATAGTAGGTAATCTCTTGGAATAATATTGTCAATTTGGCACCACTTGGCAAAGAAAAATGAGCATAATGTCACTTAATACTCATATACATGTATACCTAAAAGAAGGTTTTAATTTCAAAAAATGCTAGAATTTTAAAGTCCCTGATTCCAACAATGATGAATGATAAAGTTGAAATTTCTTTAAAAGTGAAAATTTGACCTTAAAGGTTATTGTCATTAAAGGGTCAAGGTCATATTTTAGTATGTCAGAATGAAACTTATCTCCAGATGTATGTTACGTTCAAGTATGAAGGCTGTGGCTAATGAAATGAAGATCTAAAGATTTGTTATTTATCTTTCATCTTAACATAATTTGAGCCGCGCCATGACAAAACCAACATAGTGCATTTGCGACCAGCATGGATCCAGACCAGTCTGTGCATCCGTGCAGTCTGATCAGGATCCATGATTTTTGCTTACAAACCCTATAACAAGTAGAGAAACTGATAGCGAACAGCATGGATCCGGATGTGCAGGCTGGTCTGATCCATACTGGTCGCAAACTTATTATGTTGGTTTTGTCATGATGTGGCTCAATTATTGTCCATCAAATATTTTTTTTATGAAAACTAAGCAGTGTTTATTCTAGGAATTGAAAAATAGGGGTGATTTTCCCCCCTCTATTTCAAAAAAGGGGGCGATTTTCAAAATAAAGGGGTGCCAAAATAAACTGCCAATGTTAAATCGTCTGCATTTAGTTTACACTGAGGCGTTATTTGTTTAAGGCAGCAGAAGTTGTCCCCCCTTAATTTTTAAACGAAAACAAATTATTACAGAACTGCCGCGATTGATTATTAAGGGATTGACAATACAAACAATCAACCTATCTTTCACGTCTAGATCGTAGCCAAGCTAGGAATTGCCTCGTTTTTCTTGATTATTTACTACACTAAAATGGCGCCCAACTGTCAGACCGAGCACACTAGTTCCGGTTGGTACGGAACATTCCGTAAATTTCCGTCAACACACGTAACCAGTACCATACGGTACTTAATTATTATAATTAGCTAACAGTTACCTCCCTTCGGTTTCCGATGTAAATGTAAACAAAACAACCAAATATAATGTGGGATGGAAGTTTTACGATTTTATTAACTTTTTTTATAGATGCGCGATTTTCACGCACATGATTTTGAATTGTGCGCGATCTGTGAAATACTAGCGTGAATCGCGCAATCGCGCGTCCTAGAATAGACACTGACTAAGTGTCAAGTTATTACCTGTACATCTGTAGTTACACCTCTCAAAATATCAATAGAGCAGCCGTAAATTTCCATGTGGTCTTCGTGACCTTTGACAGGTGTTAATGAGGTTAATTTTCTGAAAATCTATAAATAGTAACAAACTTATTTATAACTTGTAATGAGCTAACAAGTGGTTTATTGTTTAAGATAGTTGTCTTTCTGAATACTTTTACCCAAGAGAAATGTGATGTTTATGGATTATAAGACAGACCATGTCAATTCCTCGGTTACAGGGTAATGACCGACCTTGCTAAATGCCGGTATTATGAAGTAAGGGTCTAACACATCATATCACAGTATTAAGAAGGAATAGATAAACACGACAAATCATGGTTCTATGAAGTAAAGGGTTAAAGTTGTCCCCAGACAGACAGAATGAAAAACATGCTTGTCAATGATGATTGCCATAAAGGCTTACATTTTTGTATAACAACCATTTGGTGTATATAGGCATGATAAAGTTATGACATTGTGTTTAATGTATTTAATATACACGGATATGTTAATATGACCTATTAGACCGCCTCCGTGGTCGAGGGGTTTGAGTCGATGACTTCTAACCCAGTTACCTCTCTGGCGTGGGATCGATCCCCGGAAGATGCTTTGGTAGTTTAGCACGGAGGAAGGTAGTCTAGTATAGGTGTAACTCTCCAGGAACGATGGTTAGGAAACTACCCGCCTATATGACTGAAATACTGTTGGGAAAAGGCGTAAAATGAAACATATAAACAAACATAATATGACCTATTAGCTAGTTAAAATGGACAGGTTATATGACCTGTTATCTAGTTAAAATAGAATGGTTATATGACCTATTATCTAGTTAAAATGGACATGTTATATGACCATTATAATACTGCACGTTTGTAACGTCATTTTTCATTGGATAATCGTGACGTTTATAAAGTTTTATATACATGGCTGCTGTCGATTCATGAAGAAATCTTACTTTTTTCTCTAAAAAATCATGCTTGCTGTATTATAAATTAATTATAAAGACTGTTGACAGGTTATATGGCCGTATATAAACGGCTGTTTGCAATATAACCCTCGTCAAGCGGCTCGGGTTATATTTACAAATAGCCATTTATATAGGGCCATATAACCTGTCAACAATCCTTTTAACTAATATTATAAACAATTGTAAGGTTATAGCAACTGGACTGCTAGATGATGGTTATATAGCAAACAAACATTTATACATGACCATATAACTTATCAACAATATTTATAACAGCACAATACCTTTACTTGTGGAAGAATGAAAATTCATAAATTTGGATAAGTAGTGTATATAGGTTATATGTACATCATGATTATCCAATAAAAATTAACGTTACATATGCATGTAGTAATATTACTATACATTGAAAACAGGCAAAGTCAAGTGATATTTAATGATATCAATATTTTATTTTATACATAGGAAAGAAGAGGAAAGCTGAGGGGTTGAAAGGTCAGCCAAAACTTACACAGTTCACAAAGATCAAGAAAAAACTTCCGTTTACTGAAGAAATGAGTGCTGGCACTCAGAAGGACGACTTTATTAACATAGATGACAACAGTGTTGTTGATTTAACAAAGGTTGATGATACTAGACTGTCAAGAAAAACATCTGCAGATCTCCATGAAGATGACAAAGGGAAAATTGATACAAATAACTGTGGTCCAGAAAATTCATTACAGATTAAGAATTCCAAACAAAAAACACTAAATGAGGATGGAAAATTAGGAAAATGTTTTCAGAAAAAGTCTGTCAGGCAAGGTGCCTCTGGGAAGAGAAAAGGTGACAAAACACCAGATGGAATGACTTCTATCAGAAGCTTTTTTGTGAAGAAAGATGTTGCATCAGTTGAATTTAAGAAAAATGACACTTCAGCATTTAAAAAGATGAATACATAGGTAAAAAAGAATACTGCAAAATCATTATTATTCACGGGTCTCTAATTTTCATGGTTTTCATGAATTAAAGATCCAACAAAGTCTTCTTTAACTTCAAAACACTTGACAATCTGATTTATATATAGTACAAATCAGATAACCTTGTGTTTTGATATATATAGGTATGGTATGGCTATAAAAGTGATGATGTCACAATGAAGTTAAAAAAAAAACTTTGATATATAAGCCATTAAGGTCAGTTAGCACGAAGAATATGCAACAGTTGCTGTCACAGCCTGTGGTGTAGTGGTTCACGTACTGGACTGACAATCAAGGGACTTGTGGTTTGAGTACCGGTTATGACGTGCAAATTTTTTTGTGTGATTTTTCAGCATATATTGGTCTATGTGTTAATCTTTTATCTGATGCAGCTATAATTTGGTCTAATCTTATAAAAACTGCCAGTGTTTTTAATGACACTATGTTATCATACTGCGATAACCTGCAGTCCGTAGAGTTTAAAACATAACATATTTTCTCTGTGTGTGTTGGTGTTTAAAAGATGTTTGTTTTACATTTGAAAAGAGTCAGTATAGTAATAATCATCTGTAAGTTTAGTTAACTTTTTACGTAAATTTGGACTCGCGAAAAAAGTAAAATTACGTTAGTTGCATTTTACTAAATTTACATCCGCAGTTCATGATTGTAACTTGATGTTTAAATGTGTACCTAAGAAAGTTTAGAGAAACGCAAATAAATACGTAGGTTCTGCTTACGCAAAAAGTTATGTTCAAACTTGCGTTACGATAACGTAAGTACGTTTGTGAAACGCACCCCAGAGTTTTCAAAAAGGGGTCAAATTTGTTGGACAAGCCACTAGGGATTAAACGATGATCGAGTATAATAAAAAATTGATCGTTTATTGGACAGGACGGCGATGATCGAATACCAAGTTGAATAATCGATAATAGGTAATTTTCAATGATCGATTATGACTTTTGTCCGATTAAGAAACCCTACAATCCACTATTAAATAAGGGATGCATGGTTATAGTGTTAGTGTGGTTATTCTATTCTTTAAACCAGTTTCCTGCAAAAGAATACGGTTACCATTAATTATTAAAAAATATCACTTACATATAAATATGAATAATCTTAATAAAGGTCAAACAACTTGATAGTTTTGCATCATTTGTATCTCAGGTGAGAGATCCAGGGCCATGATGGCCCTCTTGTTATGCTAAGTTATAGTGCATTAAATTATGATTGTTATTAAAATTCTAGTCACGTATATTGTACTGTGATTTTAATATAATTTTTTTTTATCTAAATTGAAATTCTCTATGTGTATTTTGTAGAAGAATTTATAAACCAATATTTTCTTACTTTCATGTTTTATTATTGTTTTGACTTTTTAGCTCACCTGAGCTCAAAATGATCAGAGCTGAGCTTTTGTGATGGTATTGTCTCATCTATCATATTCTGTCATAATCCGCAATTTCTTTAAACAACATTTTCACCAAAACCAGTGAAATATTTTTTCCATTATAATAATAATTATATAATTGATAAAATGTGCTACTATTTTTTTGTATCTTCTACATAATAGAAAATATACTTTGGAAATGATTTTTTTATTTTTTGTTTTTATGTTTAACATGGCTCTTGTTTTGATTTGATTTTGTGATTCCAGTCTATTGCTTATGTTAAACTTAAGAAATGATTCAGAATGCAATTGTACACGATTTCGGATATATCACTATTTCGAGTGACACAAGGATATAATTCTGTTGAAAGATTGTATAACTGACCAACTACAGTTGTTACCTAACGTCTGAACATCACCCTGATCCCTGCGGGTTGATTCCAGGAAAAATGTGTAAATTAGATTTTACCTTTATGCTGTCCTAATACTTCAGTGCCTTGTGTTTTGTTTCACGAGTAAATCACAGAGGTGAAACTTTGTGTTGAATCATTACTCTAGCGTCTGACTCTTGCCGCTGTAGGTTCAAGCCACACAAGGGTCTTCTGATTTTCTTATGTGAGAAAACTATCTAGCTAGCTTACAGAATGTCGGTGGTTCTACTCAGGTGCCTTAAATAATGCACAGAGGGACACATGAGGTCTTCCTAAACCAGTAAAGCTGGAAAGTCAACATATGACTTCTACTGTGTTTGTGCGATGTAAAACCCAGCCAAAAAAAAAAAAGGTATTTAGGTCTACAAATAGAAGTATATATCACTAAAGGCTTGTTAGCCAAAGAATTCATTTCCTTATTTATGTAAAGAAATCGTTATATGTAATCATGTATGATATGTTTATTGGAAAATTTATTTTAAAAAAACTTGCAGTAACTTACAGAAATTTATGCGAATTAGTACTGGTGTAAAAAGAGTGATATTTTTGGAAAATACTGGCAGTTGCTTGTGTATTTGAAAATCTGGCAGTTACTTGCCTAAACACAGTTATTTATTTTGAAAAAAACTGGCACATATTTGCTGTTATTTTCTTGTAGAATTACATAGAGGATGTTGTTTGTTTTGAGTGAATGTGCTATTATCGCACTGATCAGCAAGAAAAATGCAATATTCTCACGAGCACATAGAGCAAGTGAAAACAAACAAAACTCCCTTCAAAACAACAATACTTCCTTCTCTAAAAGATAAAGCCTACACAGTACAAGTGTGCCTTCCCTAAACTCCAAAACTCGCATATTTGCTAGCTTAATGATTTTACATTTGCATGTAGATAGCTTTTCATTGAAACATGATATGTACAATTCATCTAAAACAATGTAAGGCTGTATATATCTACAAATAAACTGACAAAATGTTACTCCTGGAATAGACGCAACAATAAAAACAGTCTATTATATAGCCTTAAACCCAGAGTAACAAAAGTTGTCTGTATTTAAGTTTCATGCTTTTCTAGCTATAAAAGAACATACATTTTGTATTTCAGACAGATAGAGATGCCGTGGCAGACACACAGGAAACAAACTTTTATGTTTCTGATTTAAAAGTTATCAGAATAATTACAATATATTTTGCAAAGAATTTATTAACCTCTGTTGTTAGTTTTTTAGCTTGACTTTTTTATTGTTGAAAAAAAAAAGTAGAGGTATTGCTATAGTCACGGTGGCATTGCCGTCCGCAAACTTGTACCTGGATCATAACTTTTTTATTTCATGGTGTATTGTCTTCATACTTGGCCACAACAACCCTTGGGACAAGACCTTTCAGTAGACCACACTAACCTTGACCTTCATCCATAAATGACCTTGACCTTCAAGGTTAAAAGTCCAAATTTTGCTTGGCTGTAACTTTGTTATTTTTGAATGGATTGTCTTCAAACTTGAACATATTCATCTTCAAGGATATCCCTTAAACATAACCAGACAAACTTTGACCTTCACTCATAAATGACCCTGACTTTGAAGGTCAAATGATTGAAATTTTCATTTTTTTGGCTATTATTGGCTGTAACTTTGTTATTTTTGAATGGATTGTCTTCAAACTTGAACATAATAATCTTCAAGGATAACCCTTAAAAATAACCAGACAGACCTTGACCATCACTCATTAATGACCTTGACTTTGAAGTTCAAATTATTGAAATTTTCATTGGCACTCTACCAAGTGACCTTACCATGTGACACCACCATGTGACTTCAAGACGTGACTCCACCACGTGACTTCACCACGTGACTCCACCACGTGACTCCACCACATGACTCTACTATATGACTGTACCACGTGACACCACCACATGACTTTACCACGTGACTCTACCACATGACTTTACCAAGTGACTCTAACACGTAACACCACCACGCGACTTCACCACGTGACTACACCACATGACTTCACTACGAGACTCCGCCATATGATTTGGCCACGTGACTCTGCCTTGTGACTCCACCACGTGACACCACCAAGTGACTCAACCACGTGACTTTACCACGACGTGACTTTACCACGTGACTCAACCACGTGACACCACCACATGACTCCACCACGTGACTCCACCAAGTACCTTAACCACGTGACACCACCACATGACTCCACCACGTGACACCAACACGTGTCAACCACGTGACACCACCACGTGTATCTATATATAGTATTGCATGTTTCTATTTATAGAATTATCTGTTTATAGAATTGCGTGTTTCTATTTAGTATATTTATATATTCAAAATATATAGACAAAACTTATGTGACAAGACAGACAGATTAATTTTATAAAAAGGAAATGTTAAGATTTTGTTAAAACATTTCTTTGTTTGCCTTTAGTGAAAGTAAAAAGTCGAGCGTTGCCCCCGCCCCGCGGTGGCTCTTGTTGGTATTAGACACCATTGGTGTTATATCAATATCATCATTGCATGCTACTTCAAACTTAAGTTCTGGTTTGAGAATGATATCAGATCAAACAAAACTCGAGTTACATTTTTTAAACATAATCTTTACCAAACACAAGACAAGCATGTTTGCTTATGAATGAGATGTCAAGTAGTTAATGTAAGGCGTGTAACTTGAGAACTTTTTAAGTGGGATCTCTTTCAATAATTAGTGTTTATTAAATACTTATAAATGAAATATTGAGAAATATTGATGAAATAAAATGCGTATTTTCATTTTCCGTATTTTCACTGTAAAAATTTATTTTTCACTGCAGTGAAACATATTTTCCGTATTTTCACTGGTGTCTTGCCGGACTACTTTCTTTTAAATTCTGCCAGTACACAAAATTTAAGGGAAAGTCTTTTAAATTTTAATGTGAAAAAAGAGAAAAATGTATATAATAAACAGAAAATTCAAGGTTTTTCTATAAATACATGATTTATTTTCATCTTGTGGCATGAAAATTACCATATTTCACTCGTGGCTACCGCCACTCATGAAATATTTATTTTCATACCACTCAATGAAAATAAATCATGTATTTATAGAAAAAACTTGAATATCCTCTATGTCTTTGTTATGTACTGTAATGTACATATATTGATTTCAAATGTTCGCGCGCAATATTGTCAATTATACGAATAGCTCCTTTTATGTTGGCCGTTGAAGATAGGTCAAATATTTTTATACAAAAGGAACTTTTTTGTTTATTGAAAGCTTGATTTATTTAATATTTGTCTTTTGATGAGAGATAATTGGATGTAAAAAAAAAAAATATAATTTTGGTATGTTATGTAAGATAACGTCCACGAGATTTCACGAGATAGACAGTGACTCAGTGTCACAATATCAATCAAAATGTCTGTTGAAAGGTAATTGCAAATTTTTTTTTTTAACTCAACACTTATGGAATAACAAAAGTGGAATATGTTGTTTTTACTTTCAACATTTTGTACTAATTTTGAAATTCAGAGTTAAGAGGTCCAATGTATGTACATGGTTAAAATCAAGAACAAAATATTCAGTAGCATGTGGTAACACCTTGATATCCAAGGTGAAATACAGGACTGGTTTATAATCATATTTATCTGAAAATCTGCACTTATTTTATTTTCCAGCAAAAGATTAAATCCTGATTATCCAGCTATGGTAAGTTTGAATAATTATTATTTTAATCATGATAATATATTTGATTCTCCATCAGTAGTTGCTGACATTTCTTTAATACTTCATTAAAAATAAGGCGGAAGTTAGTGATAAAACAAAGTTTCACCTTTATTGTAAAAATTTTATTCATACTTCAGGCATAAAACAAAATGTATTTTTATAACCAGGGGCTTGTCATATCAACGGTCGTCAACCGTTTTTATGGTACGATTGTCGTACGCCGATCGTATGATTTTGTCGGTGTCTTATCAAACGTCGAAGATTTTCATAATTGTAGGATTATCGTAAGATCGTGCATTTTTTCTACGATCGCTGAGAAGCAGTCGTAGATCAAATAAATGGCTGCCGTGCTTCCTGTAAATGCTACAAGGCCGTAGAAAAAGTAGGCCTTTCGGGCATCAAGTGCAACTATTGGATTGCCCGAGTGGTCATTTAGTTGTTGCCGACTATCAGCTTGGTTAATTTTCATTTAAGAAACCTATGATCTTAAGATCTTGATTAAGTTTCAACAACTTAATTGCATATTATACTTTAATAAACAAATTTTGAAACAGTACTGCTTCCTTAATAATATTATTCATAAAAAAATTGTTTCTTACAATAATTCTCACCATGAGAGAAAATAATATAAATAAAACTAAAATTGTGTAGAAAAAAAAATGAAAATAAATATATGAAATTTTTTTGAGGGGTGTTGGGGGCTGTTAGGAGAGGAAAACGATGGAAACAGTACGATTGAGAACTGTCAGACGGAGGAACTGGATAGGGTGAGAATAGTCTGTCATTCATCCAAGACATGTGTGTTTCTTTTTCTTTCTGAAAAATAAGAAGTTTTTTTTTGAAATGTGAAACAGTAAATTCATGTAATATAGAAATTAGAAAGTGGTAAATGATGATTTATCTTTATATGACTTTAATCTAGCCCCAATAAACACATTTAGATATAATGTAAGACTGTTATCAATTTGCTTTAGTACTAAACAACAAATAATGTAAAAAATCAAATATAACTACATGTACATGTACAAGTTAGCTTGTAATACATGTCTGCAAAATTCATTTTCACTATTTATCTATATTGTCTGCGTTTCTCGCAAGTTCTATATACTATATATTGTCTGCATTTTACTATAATTATACTGTTAATAAAAGATATACATGTCTGCAAAATTTATTTTCACTATATATCTATACTGTCTGCGTTTCTCGCAGGTACTATATACGCTATATCGTGTGCATTTTATTCTAGGTTTATCAGCAGTATAGAACATATAGTAAAATGCAGACAATATGGAGTATATGGTAATTGCAAGAAACACAGACAATATAGATATATAAAGTGGTTTGATATTGTAAATACATATTTTTTTAATTTTAATTATATTTATATTTTTACATCACATTGTTGTTTTTTTAATAATTATAAATGCTTTGTAACATTGTTTTATTAACTGTTTAATGATTACTTTGTAGATGGACTATGTATAAAAATCAAATAAAAATATGTTCTGTATTTAGCTCACCTGAGCAATGCTCAGGGTGAGCTATTGTGATGACCCTGTGTCCAACGTGCTTCGTCGTGCGTCGTGCATCGTCAACTTTTGAAGATTAACAACATCTCCTCTGAAACCAATGACTGCACATCAACCAAACTTTAAAGAAATGATCTTTGGGTGGTCCCCTTTCAAAGTTGTTCAAATGGTTCCGGTCTGTTGCATATGTAGGTCATAGGGCCAGAAAAGGATTTCAAAAAACTCAAAATTAAAAAAATTTCTTGTCTGAAAGTACATGGGCCAGAGCTTTGATTTTTGGTATATGGTAACATCTATGGGTCCTCTACCAAAGTTGTTCAAATTTTGTCCCTAGTGTCAAAATTGGCCCCGCCCCGGGGGGTCATAGGTTTTTCCTTATATGTATATAGTAAAATCTAAAAAATCTTCTTCTCTGAATTGGCAAAGGCTACAGATTAGATATTTGGCATGAAACATTGTGTAGTAGACCTCTATCAAGATTGTTCAAATAATGGCCCTAGGGTCAAAATTGGCCCTGCCCCGGGGGGGTCATTGATTTTCATTACATACATATAGTGAAAACTTGAAAAATCTTCTGGTCTGAAAGTAAATGCCCTAGATCTTTGATATTTGGTCTATGGTATCATCTGAAGGTCCAATACCAAAGTTGTACAAATTTTGTCCTTAGTGTCAAAATTGGACCCACCCCGGGGGGGGGGTCATAGGTTTTTCTAATATGTATATAGTAAAACATAAAAAAATCTTCTTCTCTGAATTGGCAAAGGCTACAGGTAAGATATTTGGCATGAAACATTGTGTGGTAGACCTCTACCAAGATTGTTCAAATAATGGCCCTCGGTCAAAATTGGCCCGCCCTCGGGGTCATTGATTTTCATTATATACATATAGTGAAAACTTGAAAAATCTTCTGGTCTGAAAGTAAATGGCCTAGAGCTTTGATATTTGGTCTATGGTATCATCTATAGGTCCAAAACCAAAGTTGTTCAAATTTTGTTCCTAGAATTAAATCGGCCCCGCCCTGGGGGTCATAGGTTTTTCCTTATATGTATATTGTAAAACCTAAAAAAAATCTACTTCTCTGAATTTGTAAAGGCTACAGGTTAGATATTTGGCATGAAACAATGTAAAGTTGATCTCTACCAAGATTGTTCAAATAATGGCCCTCGGGTCAAAATTGGCCCTGCCCCAGGGAGTCATTGATTTTCATTATATACATATAGTGAAAACTTGAAAAATCTTCTAGTCTGAAAGTAAATGGCCTAGAGCTTTGATATTTGGTATATTGTATTATCTGAAGCTCCAATACCAAAGTTGATCAAATTTTGTCCCTAGTATCAAACTTGGCCCCGCCCTGGGGGGTCATATGTTTTTAGCTTTTTTGAGCTTTTGTGATCGCTTTTCGTCCGGCGTCCCTAAACTTTTACTTTAAATGACATCTCCTCATTAACTGCTGAGCCAATTTCATCCAAACTTCACAGGAATATTCCTTTGGTGGTCACCTTTAAAAATTGTTCAAAGAATTTAATTCCATGCAGAACTCTGGTTGCCATGGCAACGGTTAGAAAAAACTTAAAATATCTTCTTTTAAAAAAACCCAAAAAGGTAGAGCTTAGATATTTGGCATGAAACATCTTCTAGTGAGTGTCTATCAAGTTTGTTCAAATAAAAGCCCTGGGGTCAAAATTGGCCCCGCCCAAGGGGGTCATTGATTTTCCCTATATGCATATAGTAAAAACTTAAAAAAATCTTCTTTTAAAGAACCCAAAGAGCTAGAGCTAAGATATTTAGCATGAAACATCTTCTAATGAGTGTCTATCAAGTTTGTTCAAATAAAAGCCCTGGGGTCAAAATTGGCCCCGCCCCAGGTGGTCATTGATTTTCCCTATATGCATAATTAGTAAAAACTTATAAAATCTTCTTTTAAAGAACCCAAAGAGCTAGAGCTAAGATATTTAGCATGAAACATGTTCTAATGGGTGTCTACCAAATTTGTTCAAATAAGAGCCCTGGGTCAAAATTTGCCCTGCCCCAGGGGTCATTGATTTTCCTTATATGTGTAAAGCAAAAACTTAAAAAAAAAATCTTCTTTGAAAAAAAACAAATAGCTAGAGTTTTGTTACTAAGCATGAAACATCTTCTAGTGAGTGTCTACAAAGTTTGTTCATATAAAAGCCCTTGGGTCAAAATTGGCCTCACCCCAGGGGGTCATTGATTTTATTTATGTGTTTAGCAAAAACTTAAAAAAACTTCTTTGAAAAAACCCAAATAGCTAGAGTTAAGATATTAAGCATGAAACATCTTCCAGTTAGTGTCTTCAAAGTTTGTTCAAATAAAAGCCCTAGGGTCAAAATTGGCCTTGCCCCGGGGGACATTGATTTTCCTTATATGTGTTTAGCAAAAACTTAAAAATCTGATTTAAAAACAAAACCAAATAGCTAGAGTTTAGATATTAAGCATGAAACATCTTCTAGTGAGTGTCAAATGGGGTCAAAACTGGCCCCCGCCCTAGGGTGTCATTGCTTTTAACTATATGTGTATAGTTAAATCTTAAAAAAATCTTTTTTAAAAAACTCAACGAGCCAAACCTTAAATGTTTAGCATGAAATATCTTCTAATGCCAGGTGTCTACCAAGTTTGTTCAAACAAAAGCCCTATAGGGTTTAAACTGGCCCCGCTCTGGGGGCCTATATACAGGTGAGCGACTTCAGGGCCATCATGGCCCTCTTGTTTAAATTTGTTATGAAATTTACTTTATTGTCCCCATTAAAATTCTGCTTATTAAAGTTAACAAAACTTATATTAGACATTTTCTCTTAAATTCATAAAAGTTAATACAAATCAAGCATAATATGTCAAAAAATCTTTTTAATATCACTATTTATTATTTCTTAATTTATATCATCTTAATAAAAAATCATAAAAAATATTTCTATTCTTAAATTTCTAATCTATTATCAAATATTTATACCTACAAATCTTTGATATCTTAAACTTTCAATCTTAAACATACAAATCTAAACAGCTTTTAAGTATCTTATTTACACCTTCTTATTCTATATTGTCTGTGTTTTGTGAAAACACTCTATATCTATATTGTCTGCATTTACTATAAATATATAGACCGACTCGTGATACTGCGCAGGCGTAAGAACCGTGAGTCTATGAAAATCATAAGATTTTAGGTTGAACGTGATAAGACAGTCTTACGATCGAGCGTACGTACGACAATCGTAGATCAAAATCGTACAATAAGATTTCCAAAATCGTATGATTGTTGATAAGACGGGCCCGGCAGTAGTTTAACTTTATAAAAGCTCAGAATACCTGGTGTTTGACATTTTTTCGCTCCACTTAAGATCACCTGAGTAAATTTGGGTGACCTATTGCTTTCTGAATTTCATGACTCCAGGATCAAGTTTGTTTTTTGTTGTTTTTTTTTAGGGGGGCGGGGGGTATTCATACCCCCCCGCCCCCCTCCATGTGGCCAGACGGTTTTAGCTAAAACCATAGAAATTAATGCAATCTTTAAACTTCTTCTTCTTTACTCCTGGGAATCAAGCAGTCAGACTGTTCACATGATTGAAATAAGCATTGAGACCATTATCAAAATTGCAGTCATCATTAATAATTCCTTTATACACCTGTAACATATTGGAACTTACACGTTTTTTCTCTCCTCAAGAGTCTAAACCTGGGCAATTTTTACAGTGATTGACTACAATATTATAGAACATACACATATTTCTTTGCTTCAGCCTAGGAACCCTGAATTTTTTTCTTAAAATATACATTTGTATTTTAAATCAGGATTGGGTGTAAACTTAAGAAAGTTCTGCATTTCTAATGGTAATGTGACAACATTTTGGCAAAAAGATCAAAACATAAAACGGATCATTATTTAATATTGTTTATTGATCTATATTGATTTTTTTCAAAATTACATTTTTATACATATCCAGGTTTTATTATATTTTTTAAAGCCATTTCAAGCAGATAATTATTTTACAATAAACAACTGTAACGGTTAAAAATGTATTTTAAGCTTGATTTTTGTTTTGTACTGTAGAATGAATTTAAAAACAATGAGAAAAATTGTAACAGAATTGAAAATTGTGAAAAACATGCACTTTTAGTAACATTATAAGCATTATAGGTAGAAATAGCCCCGGTTCTGAGAAGAGAAATAGTGTATACTTTCAATACACTATAGCATTTGACTGCAAAAATTTGACCAGGGGTCTAAAGGATATGTAATATGCAAGGAAAAGAATTATACACTGGCTCTGGCCACAGACAGGAATAATTTATCTAGCTCTGGTCCACTGTTCAGATGAAAATTTGGCAAATACCCGGTGCTTCACTTAACAGCTTTTCTTGAGCTAGATATTCTGGTCTGTAATTGCATGGGTGTAAGATTCAATTATCACAGTTTCAAAAAATTGTTGAGAAAGGCTGATTACATCTTAAATATAAATTATGTTTTAACTATTCAGGAACAGGAATATTCTGATACCAATGATTTTGCACCATCATGTTCTACAGGTAAAGTTTTATGTATTTTTATTGTTGTTGCATTCAAGATATTATTGTTTTTGAAATTAAAAAGTAAATTTGCATCTAAAGGAAAAACTATTTCTGATTATTTTTCAATCATTATTAACCAGCTAGATTTTCCAACAGAATTATCTCTTTCTTTGATTTCCTGCATTGAATTATAATGATGCCAGTGGTCAGTGATATACTCTTTTGCCGTCTCCTGTTTTGTTTGGTGTCCTGCATGGCTTCTTGCCTGTAGTCCTATGTTGCTGGTTTTTATTTGTTTGGGTCGTCAGACCAAAAACAAAATAATGGTAGCGAAATTTCAGACTCTAATGCTATTAATTGCAAATGCAGAAAGTAGTCCGCTTAAATTTGAACGGTTACTTCTAACGCCGAAAAATTCAGTGGAGATCATTGTGTAAAGATGGTGAAATGACAGGCGCATTAATTTTCAAGCAAAATTATTCCCGAATGGTCGAAGATTTCTAATATTGTTTTATTCTTTATAGATATACATGCGCCATGATTATTTACACAAGTGTTAAACAACAGTTAGCGTCGTTACAAACCCTAATTTAGAATAATATGGTTTTCTCCAGGCCGTTTACATATAAATTTGCCGTGATTGAGGGGTTTGCGCGCTCGCTTAGGAAGCGAGAGGTCTGGAGTTCAAATCCCAGTTAAGGCAACTCATTTGTTTTTCAAATTGTTTAAGTCAAATAAACATTGGATTGAATATCAGTGTTGCAATTAGTCTTTTAGCCAATTAACTACAATTAAAACGCTGGAAAGCATTGGTGGCACTTAGATACAAAAACAAATTGGTTTATAATCTCACAACCTTCACCTTTCTGACATTTTCAGACCCAAACAAATCCAGTGCCTTCTGTGCTTTGATTATTGAAGGATGTGTTCATTGAATGTTGCCCTTTCATATTTGAAAATTGTTCAATTTGCTGTCATTGATTCAGTGCAAAGCATATTGATGATACATCGGATGACACATATTTTGATACATCGATATATGGATAAATACTCCTAATTTCTTGTATATAATTCAGTTTTATAAATGTTTGAATGATTTTAGTAAAAAACATGTTCTCTTTAAACGAATATGTTGTGTTCTGTTTATAAATGTCCTTTGGATAATTTTTTCTGACCAATTTTGTCAACATTGCTATGAAATGTGTCCATTATTTTACAACAGCTTGGTGTTAGACGGCCACCTGCTTTTGTATATGTTTTGGGTGAATTAATCAAAATTTTTGATTTTATTCAAAAGTTTATCGATTATTGATTGACAGAAAAATATCAACAATACATTGATATTGTCTATCGATGACATCTATTTTTGTGCCCTCACTTTTGTGGCGGGCATTTAGATTTACCCTTGTCCGTCTGTCCGTCCGTCCGTCCGTTAGCAATTTGGTTTCCAAAGCATAACTTTAGTTCCATTTGGCCCACAGTATTCAAACTTCATAGGATGATTGTTCATATTGGGTACACGACCCCTATTGATTTTGGGGTCATAAGGTCAAAGGTCAAGGTCACTATTACCTAAAAACTGAAAACAGTTTCTGGAGCATAAGTTTCTTTTGGCCCACAATATTAAAACTTCATAAGATGATTATCCATATTTGGTAGAAGACCTCTATTGATTTTGGGGTCACAAGGTCAAAGGTCAAGGTCACTATTACCTTAAAACTGAAAACAGTTTCCAGAGCATAACTTAAGTTCCATTTTGTCCACAATATTCAAACTTCACAATTGGGTAGAAGACCCCTATTGATTTTGGGGTCGCAAGGTCAAGTGTCAAGGTCACTATTACCTTAAAACTGAAATCAGTTTCGGAGCATAACTTAAGATCCATTTTGCCCACAATATCAAACTTCATAGGATGATTGTCCATATTGGGTAGAAGATCCCTTTTGATTTTGGGGTCATAAGGTCAAAGGTCAGTGTCTCAATGATCTTTAGACTGAAAATTGTGGTTTCTGGAGCATAACACAAGTTCCATTTGGCCCACAGTGTTCAAACTTCATAGGATGATTGTCAATATTGAGTTGAAGACCCCTATTACTTTTTTGGTCACAAGGTCAAGGTCATTATAACCTTAAAACGGTTTTCGCTCAATAACTGAAGTATTAATCAACCTACAGCTGTATAATTTTATAGGATGAACAGCCATGTCCAATACATGACCCAGGCTCATAAGATCAAAGGTCAGGGTCACAATGACCTTAACACTGAAAATTGTGCTTTCTGGAGCATAACACAAGTTCTGTTTGGCTTACAGTATACAAACTTCATAGGATGATTGCCTATATTGAATAAAAGATCTATATTGGGGTCACAAGGTCAATATCAAATGACCTTAATATTGTTAAAAGTTTTAAAACTGTCAAACTTCATAGGATGATCACATATATTGAGTACATTAATTATTTTCCCTAAAAAAATTTGCTTATATTATGTTATATCCCTGGGTTCATTCTGTCCATCTGTCATAGTAAAATTATTTAATTCCCATGTCTTACAAATGCTTCATTCTTTCTAAAAAAAATATCTTTCAGGCATATAATGCTCCGCCTATTGGTGCTCTTGTTATATATTATACACTTTTTGAAAAAAATCTTTTGCCTTATGTATAACCTTTTTTGCTATTTTTGATTATCAGTTTTTGCTTATTTTGATTACCTGTAATAAGGAGCTCATTTATGTATTGATAGGTCAAGGATTTGGCGGAGGTTTAAGGGACAGTTACAGTAGTGCTAGGGGTGGTTCTAGCTTTGAAAGTAGAGGCGGCGGATTTAGAGGGCGTGACTCGCCTAGACATGACAGAGGAGGAAGAGGCGATTTTGGTAGTCCTGGTAGAAGTGGTGATCGACCAATGGGAGGGAGTTATGGTGTTGACAGGTTTGTTCTCTTGTTACAGTTGAAATAATCTGCTTAGGTTTGTCCAAATTTAAGCATATATATATATATATATATATATTATAACAAGATATGTTTGTAAAACATGTATGCCCCCTATCAGCAGCCAATTATTCATGTGATCAGGTTATTATGCATGACTTCTGACCCAGTGAACAAACAATTAATAAGGGTTATCTAGTATCTTCTGGTCATGTCTAGTCACAAGGTAATAATTATTGTGACCCCATAGGTTGTGTGCAGCAATTTAAGTTATTACAAATCTTACCAAATAATATATGCATAAATTTTATGAATCATGTAGCCAATAACAGCCAAATTGTTATATTACATAAGACCTTCAAATGTGTTTACCAAAAGCATTTTTAGTTCAATATAAAAATATCCACCAAAGCAACTTGAGCTGTTGAGTTATTGGTCAGAAACCTTCATTAAGTACAGGGTCAATATGAGATTGACCCCTTGACCCCAAAATCAATAGGGGTCTTCTACTGGTCATGACCAATCATTATACCAAGTTTGAAGTTCCTAGGCCTAAGCCTTCTTTAGTTATTGATCGGAAACCGTTTTTACCTACAAGGTCAATGTGACCTTGACCTTGGACCCCTTGACCCCAAAATCAATAGGGGTCATCTGCTGGCTATGACCAATTATCATACCAAGTTTGAAGTTTCTAGGCCTAAGAGTTCTTTAGTAATTGATTGGAAACCGTTTTTTCCAACAAAGTCAATGTGACCTTGACCTTTGACCCAAAATCAATAGGGGTCTTCTACTGGTCATGACCAATCATTATACCAAGTTTGAAGTTCCTAGGCCTAAGCCTTCTTTAGTTATTGATCGGAAACCGTTTTACTAACAAGGTCAATGTGACCTTTACCTTTGACCCCTTGACCCAAAGTTCAAAAGGGGTCATCTGCTTGCCACGACCAACCATCATAGAAAGTTTGAAGTTCCTAGGCCTAAGCATTCTTTAGTTAATTGATCGGAAACCGTTTTTACCTACAAGGTCAATGTGACCTTGACCTTTGACCCCTTGACCCAAAAATCAATAGGGGTCATTCGCTGGTCATGACCAATCCCCAAACCAAATTTGAAGTTCCTAGGCCTAAGGGTTCTTAAGTTATTGATCGGAAACTGTTTTTACCTACAAGGTCAATGTGACCTTGACCTTTGAGCCCTTAACCCCAAAATCAATAGGGGTCATCTGCTGGTCATGACCAATCACTATACCAAGTTTGAAGTTCCTAAGCTTAAGGGTTCTTTAGTTATCACTTGGAAACCGTTTTTACCTAAGAGGTCAATGTGACCTTGACCTTTGACCCCTTGACCCCAAAATCAATAGGGGTCATCTACTGATCATGACCAATCACCATATCAAGTTTGAAGTCCCTAGGCCTAAGGGTTCTTTAGTAATTGATCAGAAACCGTTTTTACCTACAAGGTCAATGTGACCTTGACCTTTGACCCCTTAACTCCAAAATGAATAGGGTCATCTGCTGGTCATGACCAATCACCATACCAAGTTTGAAGTTGCTTGGTCTATGGGTTTCTTTAGTTATTGATCGGAAACCGTTTTTACCTAAGAGGTGAATGTGACCTTGACCTTTGACCCCTTGACCCCAAAATCAATAGGGGTCATCTACTGATCATGACCAATCACCATACCAAGTTTGAAGTTCCTAGGCCTAAGGGTTCTTTAGTTATTGATCGGAAACCGTTTTTGCTTACAAGGTCAATGTGACCTTGACCTTTGACCCCCTTGACCCTAAAATCAATAGGGGTCATCTACTGGTCATGACCAATCACCATACCAAGTTTGAAGTTCTTAGGCCTAAGGGTTCTTTAGTTATCACTCGGAAACCATTTGGTCTACGGACCGACGGACCGACAAGTGCAAAGCAATATACCCCCTCTTCTTCGAAGTGGGGGCATAATAATTATGAAAAATCAGTTATTTTGAAAAAGAGAAGTAGAAACTAAGAATACTAGCACATGAATTAAACAGGTATGCATTTTCCTTCACATCCTTATTAGTGACATTTCTTTCTAGAATGTGAAAATCTTGCCAAGGTATATTCACTTATAGAACTTTTAAGCCTCACTTCCAGCAGAAACTTTTTTCATTTACACAAAGGAAATAAAGTTGTATTCTGAAACTTTACTCACTCTTTTTTTCCTCAATTTAATATAAAGACCTGTCATACTCAGCTGGGCATATGTTTCTGGGTCACATTTTTGGTTAAGATTTAAGTGCAGCCATTTCATTTCCAATACCATTTGAGGTATTGCTGTGAAACTTGGTTTTCTTGTTAGAGACCATCATACCCACTTCCTGGCAAGTACTTATGATAGTCAAGGGTGCTGTCTTACCGACAGTTTTCTTGTGATAACTTGTACTAACTTATACTAACTTACTTTAGGCTTTATAATTAGAATGTTAGGCGCAACATGACCAGTGTCAATGTGCAATTAAAACCAAACACACAAACTTAGATCTATTGAGTATTGGTTTTAAATAACCATATCCTAAATTTTGATTTAATTCCATGATGTACAGGAGAGGTCCCCCACAAAGACATAGTTCAATGGACAGAAGTTACAGTGACAGAGCACAACCAGCCATGAGGAGAGGTAAACAGATTGGTAATTTAATAATTATGATATTTGATGTCATTCATTCCATAATGCTTTTATGCGGCTATTTTCTTTTTGTGTGTTTAAAAAGAACAATAGAGAGAACAATCGAGTAGCCACATAATTACTGGCCTGTGAGAATGTCCGTCTGTCTGTCAGTCCATCTGTTAGCAATTTGGTTTCCGGAGCATAACTCAAGTTCCATTCGGTCCACAATATTAAAACTTCATAGGATGACTGTCAATATTGGGTAAAAGACCCCTATTGATTTTGGGGTCACAAGGTCAAAGGTTAAGGTCACTATTTCTCAAAACTGAAAACAGTTTTTGGAACATTACTTAAGTTCCATTTGGCCCACAATATTCAAACTTCATAGGATGATTGTCCATATTGGGTAGACGTCCCCTCTTGATTTTGGGGTCAAAAGGTCAAAGGTCAAGGTCACTATTACCTTAAAACTGAAAACAGTTTTTGCTCAATAATTTAAAGATCCTGTAACACATTTTTTTCATGGTTTTATTTCATAAATATGATGCTCAAATTAAGATTTGTCAATCTTGTAAGTTCAAATAAGCATTATTTATAAAGATACTACCCAATTTAACATTTTGCGTAAATAAAGGGAGGTAATTAGAAATTTATTTTCTATAAATTCCAAGTCAAATTTTCCAATAAGAAATAAATGCATGTAACTTATTGATTAAATATAATGTGCACAAATATTTGCAGCACACATTTTACATATTCTTGGATGTTTGAAAATTGTTTTATTTGCATAATTATATACATATATAATATTTTGCAAGTGTGGTATACACACAGTAATAATATCAATCACAAAACATACAGGATCTTTAAGTATTAATCAACCTACAAGCTATAAAATTTAATAGGATGAACAGCCATGTCCAATACATGACCCCTATTGATTTTAGGCTCATAAGATCAGGGTCACAATGACCTTAACACTGAAAATTATGCTTTCCGGAGCTTAAGTCAAGTTCCATTTGGCTTACAGTGTTCAAACTTCATAGCATGATTGCCTATATTGAATAAAAGATCCATATCTATATTTGGGTCACAGGGTCAAAGGTCAATATCAAATGACATTAATATTGTTAAAAGTTTTACAACTGTCAAACTTCATAGGATGATCACATATATTGAGTACATTAATTAATTTATGCCCTAAAAAATTTGCTTATATTATGTTATATCCCTGGCATCATTCTGTCCATCCGTCCTAGTAAAATTATTTAATTCCCATGTCTTACAAATGCTTCAGTCTTTCTGTAAAAAATCACTTTCGAGCATGTTTACTGTTGTTGCATTCAAGATTTTATTGTTTATGAAATTAAAAAGTAAATTTGCATCTAAAGGAAAAAACTATTTCTAATTATTTTTCAATTATTATAAACCAGCTAGATTTTCCAACAGAATTATCTATTCTTTGATTTCCTCATTCACAATTTCTTTATACAACATCTCCTTCCAAACAACTAGGTGGATTTTGACAAGACTTGGGTCAATCATGGCCCACCTTGAGGGTCATTTAATTTACATTGACTTATAACAGTAAAATATATTAAAATCTTCTTCACCTAAACTGCAATGTGTAGGATAGGAGAATAGATTTGTTAGATTTGTTGAACAGTAGACCTCTACAAAATACAAATCATGTCCCTTGGGGGGAGGCCACATTAGAAATGTCTGAAAATCTCTATGAATCTACATGGCATGGACTTAGATATAAGGCACATAGCATCACATTGTGGTGTTCTACAAAATAACATCAATTTTGAATTTTGCCGCTGGTGTAACAAAATGGCCCTACCGGAGGGGACACTTTGTTTATATAGATTTCTATAGAACTTTCCCTTATGAAAACTGTTTTGTTCAGATCTTAAATATATTTATTTTTTATTTATTTTTCCAATTTATAAGATGAGTTTGAAATATTTTTTAGTTTTAGTTTGATTGTCTTTGAAGCTATATAAGCTTGTTGAAACACTCACAAATCAGTTCCTGGAACCAACCAGTACTGAGCAATGAGTGTAAAGTCTCCTGCTTATGGAAACAACATCTTTCCCCTCACGTTGTTTTAACCCATGCGGCCAGCAATTCTTAGTTTACTTGTCCGACATTACAGGGATTTTTTTTGCTTATTTTATAGCCGATATTCAGTTATATACCTGGTCATGGAAAATTGCATATTACTAGAGTTATGAATGAGATATGATAATTAAACTTGGTATATAGCAAGCTTACATGAAGACCCTGGTTTGGATTGCATTTTGACCCAATGGAGTCAAGGTCACTATTAATAAAAATCCTGACAATAACTACAGTTAAGAATGAGATATTGTAATCTAACTTGGTATATAGCAAATTTAAGTTAAGACTATGGCTTGGTTTAGTTTTGGACCCCCTGGGGTCAAGGTCACTGGTCCTCCCAAACCATTTGGTGGATTTTGACAGAAGTTGGGTGAAAAATAGCCCCACATTGGGAATCATTTCGTTACATTGACTTCAAAGAGTAAATTATCTTAAAATCATCTTCACCTAAACTGCAATGTGTTGGATAAGAGAATACATTTATTAATAAGTATTCATTTGTGACACTACAATGTTAAGAGCTTAGACATTTGGCATGTAGTATTGCCTTGTGGATCAAAGTCATGCCTCACACCACCCTGGGGGTCACTTAGTATACATAGACTTCTATGGTAAAAATATCTTAAATACCTTCATCTCTTAAAGTACAATGCCAGGGATAAGATATTTGGTATGTAGCATCACCTTATGATCCTATACAAAAGTTTTTAAATCATGCCACTGGGGTCTTAATTGGCCATGCCTCAGTTGTCACTTACTTTATATCAACTTATATATAATCAAAGTGCTGCAGCACTGAATGCGAGGGACATGCAACCGGAGAGACATTAAGGCTTCTTTTAGAAAAAAAAACAAAACAAAAACAAAACACAAAATATATAACAGAGAAAATTTGTTCCATACAAGTTCGAGATTTGTAGAGCAATATATTTTGTGTCCCAAATTGATATAACTCAGATTTTCTACATGTACTTTCAAGCACTTAAATACAGAATGAAATTTATGCCTAAAAACTCTGGTCAAACTTGTAAATCAGTGTCCTTATCGATTTATTCTAAGAAATGATATGTAAATAGAAAAAAAAAACTATCACGAAAATATTTCTAGAAAAAATCCAGGCAAATAACTTCAAACATAATACATAATACATTTGAGAATGCTATTTAGAATTGCTTCGTGTTATATCATAGTGGGCATACAGACAATAAAAATATAAGTCATTTGTATTTTTATTTCTCTTGGATATGTCTCATTAAAAAAAAATTGGTTAAAATCAATCAGCAATTAATAGTGTATTTCTTAGATTTTTTTTTATTTACAAGGTAAAGATGTAGAGGCCAGAGCACATCGTTTTTATTTTAATTTAAATGTCACTTAAGCACTACAGTGTTTAGTTGTCCTTTTCAACTTTCACACTAAATTCCATTTTCAACTTGTTTGCTTCTTACAATTGTAGATCTATAGCATTTCTAAAAGTATTGCATTACAATCCGCTGGTTTATTAATTACATGTTGATGTGTACTTCCTAATCGCCTGTCCAAATTCAGAACAGGTGAAGCAGAATCTATTTTTAGAATAGCGAAGGTTAACTCATATCATGACCTTAGTAAAATATGTAAACAAACCACAAGAATCGGAAGTAGAACTGATATTATAACTTTCCTTACCATGAAAAACTACATGGCGGTAAAATGTCTTACATGCATTTTCAAAAATAGATATTTATACTAGCCATTGTACTGTATCTAATATATTAATAACTGCTGAATATTCAGCTAAACCCGCGGTATGAGTCACGAAAATAGTTCTTCTTTTATTAATGCGCGAGTTATCCTAGAGTCACGAAAAACTTTTGATTTGTTAATAATAATGTTTTGTATAATGTAGAAATATTTATTTCCTACTAATAATGTCTTGGAACTCAGAGGTTAAACCTTTATTGTAGTATAATTTGCTGTCCTACTTTTTCGACAGCGGTAAATCGTCTTACAGCAGTAATTTGCATATTGCGCAATAATACTACGGGACTACAACGTTTTTATCAATAATATACGTTCATATTTTAACTTGGATAACTTAATTTGAAATTGAAAAGGCTAAATATGGAAGACATTAAGATATCCAGACAAAGTATGGGAGTTTTGAAGGATCAAATTCATGTACTATTTCTTGGGCTGTTAATTGGTTTAGGACACATTGCGCGATTGTAGCCAACGAAATCCCATGTGTAGATGACTTAGCTCTGAACGCGCCTGAGGGCGCGTCCGTCGCAAAAATACATATAAGTCTTCGTTTTTGAAGAGCTTAGATATTTGGTGTGAAAAAAATTAATAATATTAATATAAATCATGTCCATTCTGCCATGCCTCCACTCAAAAACAGGTTTGACTTGGTATAGAATAAGGCTAAGAGATAATTGCATGAAAAATGGTCTCTGAACAATTAGTTGAAATTCTGTTTGAAAAATATTCTCGAGACATTAAGCTCCCTTAACAGCAGTAAAATCAGTATGAAAAAGTGGAAATCAAAGAAACAGTTTGTTCTGTTTGTTTTTAAGTAACCAAGAAAGGTAATTAAAGTACAATTGTCCTTAAAATATGTAGGTTTATAATAATAAATCTATCTTTTCAGTTCCTCCTGTGGTAGATGAATGGAGTGTTCAACCAACTTTGACACAAAATTTCATCAGGTAAATACTTTTGCATTCGTTTAAGGGTTAATAATTTCATTTTACTTGATTGATGATTTTAAATAGTCATTTTATTTTAAAATATGTATTGCATAAATTATAATTTCTCATCAAGGTGTGTGTGCAAGTTGGTTACTAAAACTTCTTAAGGGAATGGTTTAAAACTTCATGTGCTTGTTCTCTGTGATTAGCACAAGTCCGATGATTCTTATTTGCTTTTTGTGCCCCCACTTTAGTGGCGGGCATTTAGATTTACCCTTTTGTCCGTCCGTCCGTTCTCTTTTGTGTGGCACGTAACTCAAAAAGTATTTGACCTAGAGTCATGAAACTTTACAAGAATTGTTGATCAGCATGTGTAGTTGTGCACCTGAGTATTTTCGTCTCGATATTTTTAGGATTTTTAGAGTTAATGCTTTTGACTTAGTAAAATTTTGCAATTTTCAACTTGTGTCGCATGTAACTCAAAAAGTATTTGACCTAGAGTCATGAAACTTTACAGGAATGTTGATCAGCATATGTAGTTGTGCATCTGGGTATTTTTGTCTGGATTTATTTAGTAGTTTTAGAGTAATGGCCCTTGACTTAGTAAAATTTTGCAATTTTCAACTTGTGTCGCATGTAACTCAAAAAGTATTTGACCTAGAGTCATGAAACTTTACAGGAATATTGATCAGCCTGTGAAGTTGTGCACCTGTGTATTTTTGTCTGGATTAATTTAGAATTTTTAGAGTTATTGCCCTTGACTTAGAAAATTTTTGCAATTTTCAACTTGTGTCGCATGTAACTCAAAAAGGATTTTACATAGAGTCATTAAACCTTACGGGAAGGTTGTTCAGCATATTTAGTTTTGCACCTGGGGTTTCCCTTGTGGATTTATCCAGTATTTGTAGAGTTATTTCCCTTGACTTAGTAAAAACAGTTTCATTATGTTGTTATTTGTTCCTTGAGTGCTTGAGTTAAAATCAACCCACTTTACAGGAATAATGATCAACATCACTAAATTACAGGAATAATGATTCACATCACTGTGAAGCTATGCACCTGGGACTTTGCATGTGAATTTTTTCAGTTTTGTTAGAGTTATTGCCCTTGACTTACAGTAGTATAAATTTGCGATTTTCAGCTTGTCCATGTATAGCTCAAAAAGTATTTCACCTGTAGGCCTGAAAGTTTACAAGAATATTGGTCAGCATGTGTACTTATGCACCTTGGGGTTTGCTTGTGGATTTATTTAGTATTTGTAAAATTGTTGCGCCTTACTTAGTAAAAGATTTTTAGTTTTCAAAAAATATTTGACCTAGAGTCATAAGATTGACAGAACAGTGGCGCGGTGGGGGCACCCGTGTCCTACGGACACATTTCTAGTTTGCATAATTATGCCCCTTTTTGACATAGTAGAGTTTTTGCGTGTAAGCTGGAATCTCCAAAATTACTGAAGGATGGGTTGAAACCTCACAGAAAAGCATAACATTTGAGAGCATAATAGGAGGTCACCATCCAAGGCCCATAACTGTAACATGGGTATGAACAGAACTATGAGCCTTTTTAAACTTGTACATTATTCAGACTCTTGTAAATATCAAGAACTAAAAATAGTTGAGCATGTTGTCCTCTCGACAGCTCTTGTTATGTATGTAATATTTATGGTTATATATATTTGCCTCATTATAAAATGATGATGAATTATTTTTCATTAATTTTTAGCTCGACTATTCGAAGAATATGAGAGCTATTGTAGTCGCCCCGGCGTCGGCGTCTGCGTCAGCGTCCGCGTCGGCGTCTGCGTTGGTTAAAGTTTTTTGTAAAGTCAAATATCTCAATTATTACTTGAGATATTCAATTGAAACTTACAATACTTATTTATAGTAACAAGGTACATCAGATTGACAAGTTGGATAACTCTGCCTACAATATTGACAGAATTATGCCCCTTTTTAACTTAGAAATTTTGGTTAAAGTTTTTTGTAAAGTCAAATATCTCAATTATTGCTTGAGATATTCAATTGAAACTTACAATACTTATTTATAGTAACAAGGTACATCAGATTGACAAGTTGGATAACTCTGCCTACAATATTGACAGAATAATGCCCCTTTTTAACTTAGAAATTTTGGTTAAAGTTTTTTGTAAAGTCAAATATCTCAATTATTGCTTGAGATATTCAATTGAAACTTACAATACTTATTTATAGTAACAAGGTACATCAGATTGACAAGTTGGATAACTCTGCCTACAATATTGACAGAATTATGCCCCTTTTTAACTTAGAAATTTTGGTTAAAGTTTTTTGTAAAGTCAAATATCTCAATTATTGCTTGAGATATTCAATTGAAACTTACAATACTTATTTATAGTAACAAGGTACATCAGATTGACAAGTTGGATAACTCTGCCTACAATATTGACAGAATAATGCCCCTTTTTAACTTAGAAATTTTGGTTAAAGTTTTTTGTAAAGTCAAATATCTCAATTATTGCTTGAGATATTCAATTGAAACTTACAATACTTATTTATAGTAACAATGTACATCAGATTGACAAGTTGGATAACTCTGCCTACCATATTGACAGAATTATGCCCCTTTGGAACTTAGAAATTTTGGTTAAAGTTTTTTTGTAAAGTCAAATATCTCAATTATTGCTTGAGATATTCAATTGAAATTTAAAATACTTATTTAAGGTAACAATGTACATCAGTTTGCAAAATTGCATAACTGTCTGCAATATTTGCAGAATTATTTGCCCCTTTGAAACTTAGAAATTTTGGTTAAAGGTTAACGGTCTTCAAAGATATTTACTTGAAACTTTACACATGCACTTAGGGTCATATTTGGAGGGTCATAATTGTATGTCACTGACCAAGTTCCATAACTCTATCTTGCATTAAGGCTGATTCATATCCCCTTTTCTACTTAGTTTCTTGGTTAATGTTTACATGCAAGTTTTACATATCTCAATAACTATTAAAGATATTTATTTAAAACTTCAAATATGCATTTAGGGTCATAATTGTAGGTCACTGACAAAGATCCATAATTCTATCTTGCATTTAGGCTGATTTTTCTCCCCTTTTTCAACTTAGAAATTCATGGTACAGTTTTGCTTGTAAGCTGTTATCTCAATAACTACTGAAGGGTTTGTGCCTTTTTTGGGACAATTTTATGCATTCATAATAATAAAGCAGTGATTTACTTGATTAAACATCTTAATAACAAACCTTTGTACCTTTTTGTCAAATTTATGTATTCATAGGTAATTAGTATTATTATACTCAATAAAAAACCCTTGTGACATTACCTTCCGAATAGTCAAGCCAATTCTGTATAATTAGACTCTCTCTAAGGCCTATAACATGAATTTATAAAAAAAAAATTAGCCCTTTTGTGAACTTAAAAAATTTAACAATATCAAGGCTCTTTTACTATCAAGCACTTAGAATAGTCGAGCATGCTGTCCTACAGACAGCTCTTGTTTTTTAAAAGGATGTCTTTTTGTTTGACACTTCTTTTTTGTGGGTAATGTATCATAATTCTCTTAGGTACAATATATTAAGAAACTTCTATCAATGATTTATATCATTCAGCATAAGTATCAATTCATCAAATTTGTTGTTTTTTTTATCAGTATTTATTACTGTATTCATAATGGCATTTTTCTCTTTTGCTGCTCAGTTTTTGCAAGAACTGCACTTTAAGAATGTCACTGTATATGATAGCATTATATCTAAGGCAATGTTGTAATAATAGACACTATAGAACTTGCTTATTAATTTTGATATATTAGAAAATTTTGACAGCAAACTTTTTTATAACTCCTGTTGTATATGATTTAAATTCTCTTAATTTTAATCTTGTACTTCTTTTCCCACAAGTTCAGTCTTAAGGAAATTGCCTCTCTTCAGTTCATATTAATGCTATGTTATCATAATATGTATTGTTCTTTATCATTTCATGTATATATTTGTATGTTTTGTATGCATATATGTTATGCTCTTAAGCAATTGGAGGAAATAAGACTATAATAGTGTTGTAAGATGAAATTTTCCGCCACTAGTGCAAACACTAGAAAATCCAGCCTGATGAGCAAGACATAGCATACAAATATACATTGCATACAAAGACAGCATTTGTTGAAAGCATAACATCTTATCAAATATTTTTTTAACATTTCTAAACATGTCTTTACTTGCCAATATTACAGTGTTGGGGATAACAGTTTGAAAGTAGGACCAGATGCTCGCCAATCAATCTCAAAGGCAAGATACTTTACTTGATCTCACCTCTTAAATAAATTTTAATTTGAAACATCAATAAGAAATTTATAAATGTTATATATGCTTTTATTCATCATTCTGGGTGCCAGGATGAACCCATATCTGTGTGCTTGCTGGTACGGCTGTACAGCCTACATCAGCTGACACTTTTCATGCAGATCTTACTAAACATGTTCTTCGTACAGTAAGGGTCAGGAGTCGACAAAAATGTCCAAGGTATCATTGTCTTTTAAGGGCCACCCCCTGAGTTAGTCACGACAGGTAAACCAATCATCTCTGTAACGTGAAATGACTTGACCTTGACCTGCATTGTGCCTTTTTTGCGACTTGCATGCCTTGAAAGGGATTTAGAGTAGAAATCTTTAAAGAAATGTCCTTTCATATTTATAAAAAGGACATGGTGGTAACAAGATTAAAGAAACTTTATTTTAAGTTGTTAAATTTTACAAATCATATATAATTAACTAATAAGCTATTTACAGAGTTAAAAGATAAAATTGATCAAATTTTCAACCATTAAAAATGATTCATCTATGATAATTGCAATGCTACCAGACCTCCCTGACAAAAGCATTTCATTTTAATAAATAGAGTTCACAAAAGCTGTCCCATCAAAATAACAGCTAGGACAAAGCCTGCCTCTTGAAATTTATAGAAAGAAAATTACATTAGAACAAACTGCAAAAGAGAGTAACTGCCACAACTGTTATTAGTAGTATAATTATGCCCCCCCCCCCCTTTAAAGAAGTGGGGGTATATTGCTTTGCATTCGTCTATTTAACTAAAGAACGCTTAGGCCTAGGAACTTCAAACTAGAATTGTAACATTAGATTTTGTATCAACTAACATAGAAACTTTAATATCATATAACTGAGCAGGCAAGAAAAATCCAACATCTTTCGACAAATTTTGATTAGAATTTATTGTGTCTGATTTGGACCTCTGGCTGGGTTTCGAAATTCGGTACTTAAACTTTAGCCGCGCCCGTTTCCTGAGTAGTTATTTTGCTTAAATGATTGGACTTTGTCTAGTCCTTTATGAAATGGTCTTCCTCGTCCTTGATGATTATAGATCCTATCAACCCTGTTATCAAACCTATACCCTATTTTATTTGTTTCATTACCCCTGTGAAATTGCTTTATGTTGTTGTTGTCTTAATAGTCTTGAACCTGAGCTGTTAACTTTTTCATTTGATAAGACAACTCATTTAATTTTCCTGTCTGTTTGATTTACTTCAGGTGCAGCATTTCTCAATTGATTCCTTACCACCCCTGCTTTTATCAGCTTCCTTATGAGCATCTAACCTTACTGCAATTCGTTCTGCCTCATTAATAGACTTTGGGCCTACTTCCCTTTATCTCAATCGTATGTCAGTATCTGGTATAGCATGGACAAAATAATCTAATGCTAGTAAATCAACGACCTCAGATGAAGCACTCGGATAAGCCTTTCTTGCATATCAGACTGGCGTTTCCGTTAGTTTTACCCATGCCGGAAATTTCATCTGGCATGGGGGGTTCCAGATGAGTCGCGTGCTGTACAATGGCACGATAAAGATGACGTCATTTTACCGTTATGAATGATTTTGTAATTCATACGCTGTTGAATGAAAGTAGTTACGGTTGTAATGATATAAGTTTTCATTAAAAAGAAAGATAAAGAATTTGAAATATAATGGAATATGGTAGAATATGCAAGAAAAAATATCTGACATATGTTTGCGGTTCGGATCGGAATATCCGTCCCTCGGTCACCCGCCCATGGGCGGTAACTCGGCAAGCCTCGTTACTGCCCAATGGGCGGGTCACCTCGGGACGGATATTGCGATCCGAACCGCAAAATATGACAGATATTATTATTCTAGTTAACTTCCTAACAGACTGTGCTTACTCTGGTATTGTTTCATTTCTACCAAGTGTTCTACTTTGCAGATGTGAGCGAAATATTTCTGCTTTGTGGTGCAGTACATATACAATAGAATCAAAATCACGTCTTTTCTCGTTATCTAGTTGCATAAGATCGCCTGTGCACCCCCTACTAAGAAAAGGCGATTTAGTTGTATAACTATAATTATTCAATTCCGCTACAATATTAAATTGAGCTAAATATTCGCCTAAATCATCAGACCCGTCATATGTCTGTGGTTTTAGTTTATTATGTGTTACGTCACTACCCTGGTATGGTCGTTGCCTATTATCATGTTGACCATATGGTATCAATGCTACAAAATTGTTATTACTTAATATATAATAGCTATGATAAGAAAATTAAAAAATTGAAACATTGAACATGAACTTTTTTATGTATATTTTAATGTTGACTGTTACTTAATGTACACCTTTTTTCATGTTTACAATTTTTTTCAAGCGTAAAACTATTTTCATTTTAGGTTGTGCCACGTAGAAAAGAGGCAACCGTAGGTAAGTATTCATGGCTTTCACATATAATCAATAAGTCTTATGGGCTAGTGAAACGTTACTCCAAAAAAGTTTTTTTTAAGTTTTTTCTTCGTTACTGTAAATAGTATATATATTTGAAAATTGTTTTTTTTCCACTTTTCATCTATATTACTATAAACGGTATCTTGTAACTATAGACTTAAGAACATTGTTCCTTGTCATCTCTCACATTATGTATGACATGGTTCATAAATCTAGCATCTTTATTTCAAGAGTAATCTTCTCTTTAGTTTAAGAATTTTGCTTTTAAAAATGTTATATTCTAGTAAATAAAGATTTGCCCTCTGTCTGTCCATCCCTTAAAACTGTTTCCTTAGAAACTTTTAAGAAACTTTGAACTGTTCCAACAAATGTACTTAAAGAAGAGATTTTGTTTGTTTGTTTTTGGGTTTTACGTCACATCGACACAGTATAGGTCATATCGCGACGTTCCAGCTTTACTGGTGGAGGAAGACCTCAGGTGCCCTTCCGTGCATTATTTCAGGCACGAACGGGTACCTGAGTAGAACCACCGACGTTCCGTAAGCTAGCTGGATAGCTTCCTCACATTAAAGAATCCAAAGTCCCTGTCGGGATTCGAACCCACAGCGGTGAGGGGCAAGTGGTTTGAAGTCAACGACCTTAACCACTCGGCCACGGACGCCCCAAGAAGAGATTTAAGAATAGAAACAATAGTTACACATATTCATACTGAGAAAATTTTTGGATCTTTTTGATTATCTGTTGTATAAACATAATTTCCTTACTAGGCAGGGAAACTTTACACATAACAATGATTCAGACAAACTAAGAACTCAAAAGTTTATTCATGTAATCCACAATGGCATTTTTGAATGGTCATTGTCCTTCAGAATGTTGCTGATAAACTTTTTGTGGGGTTCTTACCAGTAGGGAACTTTTGTATTGCTATAAATACTTTAATAAATGCTTGTGTAACTATGTCTTAAATTACATTTATTGAAATATTTGAATTTGATTTAAGTATTTACATTAAATTCTTCTAATGAAGTTTACAATAACATGGATTTGACCAGTAGCAAAATTTTATCATGTCACTTTAATGTGTGCTTTCTAAATAAGCCTTGATATATTATGACTTGATAGAAAGAAAATCATGTCACCTCACTGCATTATCCCTAAATTTACTTGATGAGCATATCATGTTATCACATTTGTTTCCAACACAAACCTTGTTTTAATCAATGGCAACAATCATGTTATCTCACTTTTCTAAATAATGTAATTTTAATGTTTTTGTTTAAAGTGCCTGCAGATGCATTCCAGTTTTATCCAGACAATCAATTTATTGATATTATTAAAAGTGAAAAAACATTTGAACATTTTTCCATACAGATTTCATAATTTTAAAGCTACAGATCTGAAAATTTCTTATGGTACAGCTAGGTTTTACTCCTGACTAACAAACTAGTTTCTTTATTTCTGATTATATTGACACTTATAACTGAGGCCCGTCAAGGAGGGTATCAAAAATAACCTAAATTGTCCACATTACAGTACCATGATTCCGGACAGATTTGTACATGATTTGATTTAATCCAGATAAAAGCTTGGGTGTTTTAATTTTTAGCTCGACTATTCGATAAGAATAAGTAGAGCTATTGCAGTCACCCGAGCATCGGCGTCGGCGTAACCACTTATGTTAAAGTTTTTGTAATAGTTCAAATATTTTCAAAGTCCATTGACATATGGCTTTGAAACTTTGCACACTTGTTCACCATCATGACCCCAACCTGTAGACAGGAGAAGGTAACTCTATCAAGCATTTTGACAGAATTATGCCCCTTTTTGACTTAGAATTTACGTTAAAGTTTTTGTAATAGTTCAAATATTTTCAAAGTCCATTGACATATGGCTTTGAAACTTTGCACACTTGTTCACCATCATGACCCCAACCTGTAGACAGGAGGAGGTAACTCTATCAAGCATTTTGACAGAATTATGCCCCTTTTTGACTTAGAATTTACGTTAAAGTTTTTGTAATAGTTCAAATATTTTCAAAGTCCATAGACATATGGCTTTGAAACTTTGCACACTTGTTCACCATCATGACCCCAACCTGTAGACAGGAGGAGGTAACTCTATCAAGCATTTTGACAGAATTATGCCCCATTTTCGACTTAGAATTTACATTAAAGTTTTTGTAATAGTTCAAATATTTTCAAAGTCCATTGACATATGGCTTTGAAACTTTGCACACTTGTTCAACATCATGACCCCAACCTGTAAACAGGAGGAGGTAACTCTATCAAGCATTTTTTTTACTATCAAGCACTAAGAATAGTCGAGCGTTGCTGTCCTACTGACAGCTCTTGTTTGTGTTGCTACACATAAGCTTGTTGGGACTACTCCTCAGGATGGGGCCACTTAGTTAATACATAGATAGTTTACATAGACTTCTATTATAAAAATGTATTCAATAACTTCATATTTTAAAGTACAATGCCAGGGATAAGATATTTGGTATGTAGCATCACCTTATGATCCTATACAAAAGTTTTTAAATCATGCCACTGGGGTCTA